TCTACTAGAGGAGAGGGAAGTAAACCCCGAGTGCCTTTCCCCCATAGACATAGCCTTGCTCTGGCAGTGTGATCTCAATTATGCAAATCCCGGTGGGCCACATGGACAGGGGTCAGTGCGAACCACAGGCAGCCCATCCGCAGGCATGAGCAAGACCCATTACCTCCAAGGTGGGCCGATGAGCTCGTGCCTGCGGTAAATGGAATGGTAACAACCTGCCCCACCCAAATCCCTCTTTTGGTGACAGTAAAATGCTATGAGATAACAGAAGGTGTGCTAATCAAGCTGAGTTGCCTATTTCAACGCTGCCATTTATTCCGGATATATCGCACCAGCTCTTTTTTCTTTTCTTTCTACTGATGCATATTAACAATACAGAGTAATTATGGAATACTGGTACACACATATAACACACTTCTCCATTATCTCCTGTCCTTTGCCTTCCCTGACCCCTTTTCCTGTCTCTAAAAGCCTACCTGGTAGTTTCTTGTCACCTCTCTTTCCTTTCCTTCCTTTCTTTCTTTCATCCTTTTTCTTCTTTCTTTTTTTTTCCTTCTTTGTAGATTTCTTACTTAAGAGAAAATATCCAATATTTAATTTTCTGATACTGGCCTATTTGACTTAACCTGATGGTCTCCATTTCCATCCACTTTTCTGCCAATTATATAATTTCATTCTTCTTTATGTCTGAATCACATCCACATACACACACATATATACATACATTTATATAATATATAATTATATATACATACACACATATACATATATATTTATACAATATAATTATATATACACACATACATATATATTTATATAATATATAATTATATATACATACACACATATACATATATATTTATACAGTATATAATTATATACACACATATATTATACAATATATTATATGTACACACATATATACATATATTTATACAATCCATAATTTTATATATACACACATATGTACATATACACTTATACAATCTATAATTATACACACACACACACACACATTTTCTTTAACCATTCATCTGTTGATGGGCATCTAGGCTGTTTCCACAGCCTAGCTATTGTGAATTGCACCGCTATGAACATGGTTATATATGTATCACTTTAATATGCTGTTTTTAATTTCTTCAGGAATATACCTAGGAGTGGTGTAGAGGGATCAAATCAGATATCTACTTTTAGTTTTTCGAGGTATCTCCATAGTGATTTCAGAGTAGCTATATTAGTTTACATTTCCACCAACAGTTTATGAGGGTTCCTTTTTCCCCACATCTTCACCAGCATTCATTATTTTTTGCATTCTTGATGATAACTACTATATTTTAATTGGGATGAGATGGAATCTTAATGTACTTTGTTGGGTTTTTTTTTGCATTTCCCTAGTGGCTAAAGGTGTTGAACATTTTTTTCATAAACTTGTTAGCCATTTGTGCTTTCTTTTTAGAATTAATTGTTCAATCCATTGCCCATTTACTGACACACCAGTGCTTTTTAAGGGGGCTTTAGTACTCATGGTCCCCAAGTGATGGAAAATAGTCCTTGTAGTGAGCAAAGTATGCCTTCAACATAGACAGAACACATTTGTTTGGTAAGAATTTATTGAACAACAATAAATTCATGATCTATGTTGATTTCATAAGCTTTATCTGGCCAAGGACTCAAGATTTCATTCGCTAGTCAGACAGCTGGGTAATCATAGATTTTTCACACAATCTTAATTACTAATATCTATAACAATCAAGTCATAAATCAGAGTTGATACAACGTATACGTTACAGGACGGATGAGAAATGGTTAACTGAAGCAAAAGAAGAGAGCCCACAGAAATGTGCAAAGTCACCACTAGTGGCCAGATAAGAGCTCAGACCAGGAAAAGTTTGTTCAAGGGGACAAGGCTTCCTGAGAATGCAGAGTTGGTTCAAAGCCCGGGACTGGAGGCCGGCAGTTGGAGTGGGCTGCATCAACCAGGAAGATTGAGCTGAGGTGAGGCCAGGGGGCCAGGGAGCCAGAGTTCATCACCTGCTGACCCTGTGATATGGGATAAATGACAAGCTGGCACTTGTGTCACCACCTTACCCTAGTATTGGGCGCTGCTCCTTTTATGCCATCCAGGTAAGAAAACTGCATCATTCTTTGGTGACTCCAAGAAGCTCATGACCCTGGTTTTCTATGATATAACTTAGATATGTCCTGTGCCTCTGATTTAATTTGATATATTTACACGTGGTGATTTTTATTAGAATGATTAATTTATTTATCGGTTTGTGCCTTGTGGTTGTTCTCTCCAATGAGGAGGTGTTTCCTCTCAATAAATCTGCCCTGGTAGTTATCTATTTATCTGGTAGTCATCTGGTAGTTATCTATCTGGTAGTTATCTATCTGGTAGTTATCTATTTCCACAGACAAGTTAGGAAGTCATTCTGCCTCAGCGTTTGCATTCATAATGGAGCAAACTGCTGTTTTCTGTGATGGAGTCACGCAGGGCAAAGCAGAGCCTGGAAACGCTATTCCACATGACACAGAGTAACTTCCACCAGGGCACAGCCTCTTCTACACGGTCAGTAGGAAGAGGTAACCTTTAATTAGGCCAGAAACGGGCACTTGATCTAAGGTTGGCCAATCTAGAGGCTAATCCCTAACTACTGAGGTATTCCGGCATAAAACAGTCTACCCAGTTGGTAATTAGCTACCTCAACTGTCTCTGCCATCAGAATTTGAGCAGGAAACTATGGCATGATCCAACCAATGTGCTTGGGATCAACACCAAGTGAGAAATACTCCCTGTCTTCATGACACGTCCAAGTACAAGGAAGTGGTTTTTCAAACAAGTAAATGCTCTGAGCATAACTGCCATGAAATCACGTGATACATACTGGGGTAAATAGAGAGAGCCTGTCAAGAAAATCATAAATCTGGGTTTAAGTACGGGAAATGCTTCCCAGGAGACAGTGACTAACCTGAAACCTAGATTAGAAGTAGAATAATAAGAAGAGAGAAGGCAAAGCGAATTGTTTAGGGTAACACCAGTGCCAATAAAAAGCTGATGAGACAAATAATGTAAAATTAAATTAGAAGAGAATATAGCCCACAGTGAAGACAGGAAATGAGGCTAGAAAGATGCAAAAGGTCTTGTAAACACGGTTAAAAAAAAATAGTCTAATCTTTATCCTGAGGGTAAAAAGAAACCACGGAAGAGTTTTAAGCAAGGGCTGATTTAACTTATTTTTTAAGAAACTAACTCAGTTGCAGAATGAAGAGAGGAGAGAGCCAAACATGGAGTCGGGACACACAACTGGCAGACTTGTGCAGAATGTAGAAGAGGTGGTGGTGACTGGTCGAGACGTGGCAGTGGGCATGCAGAAAGGGGAAGAAGGCTGGGCAGCTGCGGGACTCAAAAGGAGTTTATCACTTACTGGCTTTTGAAGGACAGCAAGAAGGAGCCAAGGATTAGGGTTCTGGATTCAGTGAGTAGGTGGACAGTGGTCCATTCAATAAGATAAAGAGCAAGGCAGAGCAAGTTTAGAAGAAAAGACAGTAAACTCGGCTTGGCGGATTGACTTAAGGCCTGTGGGACACCCATGTGGAGCTGTCCAGGAAGTGAAGTCACCTGGGTCTCAAACTGAGGGACGTCTGAGGTGTTGCTGGACATCCACCACACTCCTCTCCCCTCTCACAGCTGCATTCCCACAGAGGCCTCTTAAGTATTCTATGATTCCTATGCCTCCCCTGGACACGGCACATTCTCTACTCAACAGCAAATCTGATTTTTTTATAAATCTAAATCAAATGATATCACATCCCTGCTTAAAATAGTTCTATAACTCCCTAACGCAATAAAGAAAATCCACACTCCTTCTGCTGGTCTCTGAGGGTCTCCAGTCCCAGCAGCTTCTGTCACTAGCCTTGTCTTGCACATCTTTCTCTTCACTGTTACCCTGGTCACCAGTCAGCTCCCAACTCAACGCCGCTCTTTGTGCCCCAGGGCCCGGGTGGGGGTCCCTCTGTTGAGAGAGCTCTTCCTATTCCTGACCCATTTGACTGACTCCTGCTCAGTTCAGCTCTCAGACCCAGCACGGTACATCTAGGAACCTCAGGCGAAAAAAGAAAATTATGCTCCACTATACACACATTTATATATCTTTTACATGGTTAATGTTTTTCCAGGATGTTAAAGTACAGTAGTGAAAAAATATTGAAAAATTGAACAGTATTTTAAAACTCACATCAGCTTAAATTTTAAATGTTTTTATTTATACCCAAACCAGAATTTATTGTAATTTTACTTCCCTGGCTTCAAAAGAAGCAACTTTGCTTATCTCATTTTCCATTAGCAAAAATTGCCATATTTGTCAACATCTCTTGACCAAGCGATGATCTTAAACCATTTTTAATTAACTTCCTCACACTGATCCTTTGTATTTAAAATGTTAGTGTTTTGTTCTTAATGTGTGGGTCATTTATTTTTGCTTTTTAAAATAATTATTGCATTAAAATAGTGATTACTGAGATTCTGGTGTCTATTTAAATTCTGTTTGTTTTTTATATGTTTTGGTTTGGGGGTTTGGAGTTTTAAGCTCTCACTACGTAGTTCAAGCTGGCCTTGAACTCATTATGTAGTCCAGGCTGGCCTCAAACTCACAGTGATCCTCCTGCCTCAGCCTCTTGACCACTGGGGTTACAGGTGTGTGCCAAGACACCTGCCCCCTTTAAATTCTGTGCTCACCAACCCTGTCACTGAGCAAGGTCTAAGGAGTTTCCCCTAAAGAGGAGATGGGTCCCTAATCTCTCCTCAGGAGAGTTCTTGACGTTTATCACAGAACAGACTTTCAGGATACATCACTGAGAGGAACTGCAGGTTTACTAGGCAGAATTAGAAGGTAAGAGAAAACGGGAAGGGACTTCAGCTTGAGGAACTGACGGGGTCAGGTCACCTCTTTGATGGAGAAGATCGGAGGGGGCCATCAAGAAAAAAAAGGAACAGCTTTTACCGAGCTACTGGGTGGGCTGGTGTCTGGGTGATCACTGTTTCAGCTCTGATTTTGCAAGGTGATCTGGAGAAGTCCTTGTCACTTGAGCCAACCCGGTCTCCGTAACATTGTTGTCTCTGCTCAAAGCACATGGTTTTGTGGAGGCTCAGCTGGAATCCAAGGTAACCTGTAACCGTAGCTTTAGGACAATGGATGGAGACTTGAGGACCAACTGGTAGTTGAATGTCCCTGCCTATCTCTTATCTTGGTGTCCTCCGGTCTTGAAGGGAGATGAGAAATGTTCTGTAAATTCAGGGTTTATCAACTTTGTATTGCCAGTTTTTAGACAGATACTCTCTAAATGATTAGCCCGCCTGTGTGCAGAGCATAGCAAGGATCTGACCCAGTTTTAAAGTAATGAAAGGGACAGATTTCATGAAGTGAAAATGAAGATTCAGTTTTGTTGGGTTTTTTTTTACACATCTGTCCATCTGTAGGCCCAAGTAAAGAGTCATTGTGTTTTAGCAAGAGCAACTTTTAAATCCTTGATTGCCTCAGAAGAAAACGAACACCATGCATGTAAGGAGTAACAAACAGGTTAGAGGGCCAGGAGTGCTTTGCTCACTTTCCTCACAGTGGTCCCTGTGTGTCTCAGCCTCACTGCTATGGTTTAATTAAGAAGTGTTCCCCAGCAAGCTAGGGATTTAGCTCAGTGGTTTCGCCGCCTGCCTCAAAAGCGCAAGGTTCTGAGTTCGATCTCTGGTACCAAAAAAAAAAAAAAAAAAAAGAAGCGTTCCCCAAACACTCACATACTGAGGGCTTAGTCTCCAATCAGCAGTGATCAGAGGAGGGGCTAGAGAGGTGATTGGATCATGAGGGCATGATGTCATCAATGTGTTCCTCCATGAAGTCATAGCTGAAGGGGTACTTGGGGGTGGAGGAAGTAGACCATGGGGGAAGAGGGTGCCTTTAAAAGGTATATCTTGTCCCTGTCTTCTTCTTCCCTGACTCTCTCACCTTCTCTTCTTCCTTGCCACCATGAGGTGAGCAGTTGTGCTCTCTCCCACGATCCTCAGCACCAGCCCTGAAGCAGCAAGGCCAAGGGACCACGGACTAAAGCCCCTGAAACCGTGAGTCAAAATAAACCTTTCCTTCTTCCAGTTGTTTTCCTTAGATATTTGGTCACTTGTGACAAAAAGCTGACACACTCACTTAGTCCCCATCCTGCTCAGTTTAAAGGCCACCTCCTGAGACCCTCCCTGGCTGTCCCATTCAAAACAGCTGGTTTCCTTTTTCTTAAACCCCACCTTTTCCCGTCCCTCTTCCTGTAGTTCTCCTTTCCTCCTTTTTCATTTTTGTGGATATTGCTACTCTTAGTTTATGCCTATGGCGTATAATGTCCACGTTCACTGAGGTCATTAGGACCTTGTACTTATCCTATGCTTACACTGCCTATTTTTCCACTCCTTCCCCTCACCCCTCACTCTTGGTTCCCTGGGACTCTTCCCACCTGCAAGAGAACCATCCCCTTCTCTCAATCTGTATTTCCCTCATTTTTCTCTTAGTTTGTACTTTGCCTTACACAAATGAGCGCTATCATGTGGCATTTAAATTTGCGTGCCTGGTTTATTTCACTCAACATTATATTTTCTAGGTGCATTCATTTTCCTGCAAATGTCTAAAATTTGTCCTTCTTTATTGCAGAGTAGTATTCCACTGTATATATCTAAGTCAGTTTAATAGCACTTTTTTATTCTACATTATCTTACTTGGCTTCTGAAGTTTTTCTTCATTTCTTCCTTCAGATTCCGAGTAGAAACCCCATGAGGCCGTGTGCATCTAACACTGCTCTGTCCACAGCACCTAGCACAGTGGCTGACAGGAGGGGTCTGATTTACTTGTACATTTAGAAGCAAATGGATTTTGATGGTTTTTTAATCCAGGAGCTTCAAAGACTGTGGATGTATAAAGAAGCGAGGCAAGGGCAAGACTCGGAAACCGCCACAAGGAAGGGGCCCAAGGAGAAGAGTCTGGAGAGGGAACCAGAAGTGCAATTTGAGAAGCAGAAAGATAGCTGGAAGGGTAGCTTGAAGGGAGAGGCAGTTCCAAGGGTGAGGATATGGTGGTCATGGCCTCATGCTGCCAAGAGTTCATCTAAGATAAGGACTGAAGAATGTGTCTTGAATGTGGCCACTGAGATGATCTTATACATTACATAAGCAGTTCAGGGAAGAATGGTGGGTGGAAGCCAGATGGCAGGGGTCTGAGCAGCAGAGGGTTAGGATGTGCAGATAGCAACAGTGATGACTCAAGACATCTGGCCACGAAGGAGAAGCAACGTGGCTGTTTCTCGAGGGTCAAGAGAGTATTAGTGTTTTTAAAGTCGGAGAAGCGAGAATGTGCTTAAACACTGATGAGGGAAAGCCAAGAAAAAGAGAGAGATAAAGAAATTATAAAAAATGGGATGATGTATATTGATTTTCCAAAGTAGATGGGTGTAGTGGAGAGCAGAACTTTGTGGATGGGTCAGCTTTGAGCAGGATGGAAAATTCCTGGTAGGCAGGGATGAAGAGAGAAAATTCATGATGCCCTTTCTGGTGGTTTCTAGTTTTTGTGTGTGGAGTTGGAAATGGGATCATCCACTGAGGTGAGGAGTAAGGTGATTGGGTAGGAGGTTTTGTTGGGCACCCACTTTGTGCTGGGCACTGTTTTGAGTACTTGGGAAATGTGAGTGTTCAAAGCACACAAGCATCCTTACCATCATGGGGCTTATATACCACTGTGAGCAGACAGATAATATACAATGAATGTAATAGATAAATTCTAGACTAGTGTAGTAAATTGTATAATGTAACAAGCATATGACAAAACAGACCATGGTAAAGAGCACAGGGAAGGCTGGATACGGGCAAGGAGGAAGACAGGCTGCAATTGCAAATAAAGAGGGAAATGGAGGTTTTGTTGAATACGGTGACCCAGTTAGCCATGTAGGTGAAGGGGCATGGACAGCCAGGTTCACAGTTCTAAGGTGGGAGCATGTGGGACGTTGTATATGTTTCCTTTTGCTGATGGAACAAATTTGGGCTTTAAAACAACATACATTAAAAAAAAAAACCCATACATTTATCCTCTTATAGTTGTAGAAGCCGGAAGTTCACAGAGTTAAAGTCAAAGTGTCACAGGTCTGGTTCTTTCCTTTCTGGAGGTGGCAGGGCAGAATGTGGCTCCTCCCCTTTCTAGCTTCTGGAGGCCGGCTGCATTTCCTGACTCATGAACACTCCTTATGTCACTCTAGCCTCTCGATTCCGTCCTCCCAGCTCCTACTCCTCCGTGACATAGACCCAGTCTATCTTCCTCTTCAGAGGACACTCACATTAGCTCCCCTGGGTAATCCAGGGTGCACTCCCTGGCTCAGGACCTTTAGTTTAATCACATCTGCAGAGTCTCTCTCGCCATTTGAAGTAATATTCTCAGGTTCCAGGGAGTAGGGTGTGAGTATTTCTAGGAGCTATTCCCCAGATGGCTAGATTACTCCCTGGGCCCTGAGGACTCACACCCATGCAACATGCAAAGTACACTCACCTCATCCTTGCAGACCTTAAATTCTCAACCCACTAAAGAATCAATGTGGAGTTCAAAAATTCGTCTAAGTGTCATCAGCTCAAAAATCTCAAGTCTCATCATCTGCAGCATCTAACTTAGTATGAGTAAGACTCAATATGACCAATCCTGGAGCAAGATTGCTATTTGTGGACCTGGAAACCTGGGAAACAAGTTGTCTGCTCCCCAAACACGATGATGGATGGGCATCAGATGCCCACAGCAGACATTCCCACTCAAGGGGACAGAGGCAAGGGAAAAGGCATCAATGGTCCCAAACAATCGCAAAATTCAGCGAGGCAAACTCCGTGGGTCTTCACAGCTTCGGGATGTGTTTCTGTGGCTGGAAGCCCCACCCTCTGGGGACATGGGTCTGCCTTCGGGGAAATGCTTCCTTTTTCACGGAGGGAAGCATGTATGTGTGGCTGAGGAGGTTTATCAGTCTGCCATCTGGCTGTGGAAGTTGGGTGCCCTACAGCTGTGTTCAATTTGTCTTGTCTTTCCATTCAAGCTGGCAATGTTTCCGCATGTATAACAGTCTTCAAAAATCACGTGTGTCTCCCGCATATGCCGTGAAAGCCACTCTGTTAGATCAAAGACTCCTCCACACGTCTTTCCCAAATAAGCTCATCGCCATTCCTGGCTTCTGCTAAGGAAATCCAAGAATCATGTCTTCGAGGAGGCCTCTCTGTGGTGGAATACTCTCAGTTCTTACCCATTCCAGGTACTAGCAAATGGCTGTCAGCTGTCCTTTTGGCTTTCTCTTCAGATCACAAGTTTCATGACACTGAATTTCCTGTTGTAGCACATTTGCAATCTGTATGGGCTGAGAATTTCCCAGTCAAGTCCCATTCCTTTTTGATGAATACAGTAGTTCTTGTTTTGTCTCCTTCCTTTCACATTTCCTTCCTTTGCTATAAGAACCAAGAAGAAATAAGGTTGTACCTTCAATACTTTGCTTGGAAATCTCCTCAGCTAAATATCCAAGTACATTGTTTAACATTTCTGCTTTCCATGTGACTTTAGGACACAATTCAACCAAGGTTTCTTCCACTGTCTAAGAAGAAAATTTTTCCTTCCAGTTTCCAAAAATCTAATCCTTATTTCCTGGGGGGTTTTTTCCTGGTGCTGGGAATAGACCCCCAGGCCTTTGCATTGCCCTATATATCAGTTCAGTTTTAAAATTTTATTTATTTATTTTAGACAGGGTCTCACCAACTTCCTAAGTTTCTCAGGCTGGGCTCGACCTTGTGATCCTTCTGCTTTGGCCTCCAAGAGTACTGGGGTTACAGCCATGCACCACCACACCTTGCTCCTGACTTCCTTTGCGTCCTCACCATTAATACCTTTAATATCTACAATTCTACAACAGTTTAGGCCCTCTCGATCATGAACCTCACGTCTGCTGAGTCCTCACAGCATATTTAAACTCCACATTTCTATTACCAGTCTGTTGAAAGCAATCTAGGCTTTTCCAAACATGTTCCTCAGATTTCTTCCAGCCTCTGCCCAGTACCCAATACTAAAGTCATTAAGTAGATCAGGCATTTATTACAGCAGCACCTTGGTGGAAAAAAAATTCATGTCAGGATTAAAACAGAACCTGTAGGAAATACATATTAAGACATTGCAAGGAACTGGCTAATGTAATTGGTAAGGCTGGCTAGGCAAACCCAAAATCTGTAAAGCAAGCCATCAGGAAGGACAAATTAAAATTGTTAAGTAGGAGCGGAAGTCACAGATCACAGTAAGCTCGTAGATCTTTTCAAACTATTTAATCAGGTCCCTAAGATTATCTAGGATAATCTCCTTTATTTAAAGTAGACTTTTTATGGGTGTAAACTACATCTACAAAACATCTTCACTCACAGCCACATCTAGATTAGTGTTTGGTTTGATAACAAAGGGCAACAACTCACCAAGTTGATGCACAAACTGACCATCATTATGTACATGTTCTAGATTTAGCAAGGAGGACTGCTGAATTAGTAGTTGATAGAGTCAGAGAAATAATGGAGGGCCTAAACCATAGGGTATTGTAGGCTTTTGGAAGAAATGAAAAGATTTTGGAATCGTTAATTCAGAGAAGAAGAAAGCCTGGTTAAGGCTGAAAAGAATGAAATTAGAGTCTACTAATCTGTATGATAATGCTCTTTTCTTTAGCAATGCATCAGTCCAGGTTTAGGCAATATAAAGTCAGACACTTCAGTGGATCCAGGGTCTTTAGGGTGGACAGAACAGCAAAAGGAAATGGGAGCAAGGAATTCACTGGCACAAGAAATATGGAAACAAACCCAGAATGCTAAACTGGGTAGGAGGCGAGGTGAAGACTGGATAGGGGAAGAAGTAAGCTGCAAGAGATTAAAGGATATAATGACAGTAGACAATGTATGTTGTTCAGGGAACACATAGAAGAGAAGTGACCACGCACAACAAGCTGAAAAATTAAGAGGTCGCAGTCAGTGGTGGGACCGTCCACTCTAGTTCTTCCAGGGCTGGACAGTTATGGATTAGGATGACCGCCGGTGCCTTTGGGGAGAGGGAAGCGATGGGGAGCAGAGTGAATGTCACAGAGACAGCAGGTCTCAGAGTGAACAGCAGAAGTATGGGGCCATGCCCACTGACTGAAGAGTTCTCAGAGGACAGCTGGTGGCAGTAACAGGAGGCAAAAACCTATGCTAAAAACTGGAAGGAAACACAAATTTTCTTCCTACTCCAGGCTTGTGGAGTTAGAAAATGGGAATTAGCGTTTCAGAGAGCTGCCAGGGGATGCAGCACCCTCAGGAAGCAGCCTGCTTTCAGCTAGAGCACGGAAATAAAGGGAACCTTAGGTGAAAATGATGAGGTGCAGAGCAGTTGTTTACTATGGGACTGGTGGCAGGCTTGGAAAGAGGGCTGTGAGAAGGCGGGTGAGGGGAGAGTAGGAGAAGAGCCATCAGATGAGAGAAAGTTGAAGGATCTTGGAATGGTGACCACGAATAGCGGGGAGGGGAAGCCTGTGGACTAGCAGTGGTGAGTTTTCTAGAAGGGCAAGGCACAGAATTCTCCTGAAGAATGGAGAGAGGATGCTCGGGCTTTGAGGCCCAGGGCCTAGATGGGTTCCACTTGCAAGGGAGCCCTCATTTGCTAGAATAGTAAATCGTGGCCTCGGCAGAAGCCAGCAGTAGTCAAAACCCAAGCCTCAGGCTCTTGGTGAGCAGCATTACACTGTTCTGTCCGGGTGCTACATAAGGGGATGTGGCGCCCGTGGGTATAGCTGACTACTTGGAAATGATACGGTGAGATCCTCAGGGGTTAGGAGGAATGGAAGGAAAGGTCCAGTATACCCATTAAACCGCGAGACAGAGATATAATTATAAATATATGTGCATGTTTTTATATTTCTTTTTCTGGGCTAATGATATTAGCATGAAGACAAAAATGGAAGCTATGGATATGGAGGAGCTGCTATAATAAGAACTGCAAACATTTATTGAGCCTTTTCTCTATGCTAACTACTCTCTAGTACTTGATATGTACTAACTCATACTCGAAACCAGAGATGGCGAACCTTTTAGAGACAAGTGCCCAAGCTGCAACCCAAAACCCACTTATTTATCGCAAAGTGCCAACATTGAAGTAAAACCTGAATACTGAAGTTTTCAGTTTAGAAAAAACAACTCATACAGTGACATCTTTTGTCTTAAAAGAAAAACAACTTGCATGCTGTAGGTTCACCACCATGGCTCTAAACAATCCTGAGTAGGTATTAATATTTTTCCCATTCTGCTGATATCACAAATTTACAAATTATGGTGCAAAGATCAAACCCAGAGCCCACTCTTTCTCCCCATCTTATACTCCCCCAAAAAACAGATAAATGAGAATTACAGTCCTAGAAAATACTGACTTGAGAATACACCATAGTTAAAATGTTGGAAATGTGCATGTCCATATCTTAACTCATTTTAGCATAAATTCCTGACAGCATCTTGTTTTCTTGCTTTTGACTAGTTTTGAGTAGTTTTTTTCTTGAAAGTAGAATTTGCAAAAACAAAAAAAGTTCAAATTAGTTGGATTTCAATTAATGAAACTTGGTGGTATCTGTTTAGTTTTGTTTTTTTTTTCAAAAGCAACTTTAACACTGGGAAAATTTCCTCTGGTCTTTCTGCATTCCCATAAGAAATTTTTATTTAAAAATAATAATCACCATAATAATAATAATTTTCTAAAGTGGACTCCTCGGACTCCACCAGCTGGAGTGATGGTGGAGGCAGGATCAGGGGTTGGTTCGCCGTCTCTTGGGTTATGAACACTGACATGGGACTTCAGAAAAACCTTCATCCAATTTTTTTCCCAAATTAAATCAAGAGCATTGATAATTAGTTTCTATCAAAGTCAATCTACAGGGAAATGAGTGAAACTAAAAAGGCCTTTCACTGCCTTTACTTCTTCATTAATATTTGCTCCCAAATGCAGGTCAAATAAGCCACACTCACAATTCTAAATGAGTTGGTTTAAAGTTGATGAATTATTTTTCTCTTTGAATTTTATACCACCTATGGTGCCTAATTATTCCCACTACAGTCCCCTTCTCTTACTCAAGGTTTTAGTCAAACAAAAAACAAAGCTCTACTTCCTAGAAAGTGAACCCATTTTGGTTTCAAAATGTCTCTCCCTACATAGGCCGTTCTGCATGGAATGCACCTTCTGGCTCTCACATATACACTGTGAGGTCAACTGAACCCCCTGAACAGACACAAGCGTTACAGGCTTAAGCCTGTAGGAGCTGGCAGTGCAGATTTGATCATGACTACCACCATACTAATTTTTGTTGCCTGAGGCTTTCTTTTAATTGACCTTGCTGATCTGTAAAATAAGAACACTGGCAGAGACAGGTACTGGCCACCAGAAGTCGTGCTTGCCCTCTCCTAGTGCAGAGCTGTTGCTCAGAAGTATGAATTATGTTTCCTCACCTGCATTATATGCAAATGGAGCCATACACCTGCTTTTCACAGTACAGTGAAAGTACTGTGAGTCTTGAGGATCTTGGCTTTCAGTGAGTGGGAGTGTATTCCTACTCATGGCTCAAATGGAGTAGCAGGGTTGAGGTTATCCTCATACACAGCACAAGTGAAACACCAGACAATACATATGCAGCAACGGTTCTCAAGCCATAGACCATCAGGAAGCAAAAGGAAGTGACCCCTGAGCCTGATGTTAGCCCAGACTTACTTCCTGGAGAAGTTTCTGATCTGTGGCATACGTGAAAAGGGGGAATCTAAGAAGAGAGAGCCCCGTCCTCTCTCCTTACTGCGGAAATGGGGGTGGGAGTCTAGGGAAGCCAGAGCAGGTCACAGGGGAGAGGACCAGAAAGGAGAGGCCTGCAGAGGGTCCCCACTGAGAATCCACTTGAATGCTGTGCAAGTAAAATACTGGAGGCCAGAAAAGAACCACTTGAGAGAAGGAGAAGGAACAATGCCCCAGCACGCAGCACACAGCGGGGCGGGAACAGTGCCTGTTCCAAGCAGCCAGAATAGGAAGTGTCTCGGGGCACGAGGCGGTGGAGCATAAAAAGAGCCTGCCTCACTACCGGAGAAAGAGTACTCAGAATACACACTGCTCTGGTTTCACCTAAACAGGCCTCAAAGTAAGAACCAAAAGGGCCAGGGGTTTAGCTCAGTGGTTCCACCGCCTGCCTCGCAAGCACAAGGTCCTGAGTTCGATCCCTGGTACCAAAAACAAAAAAACAACAAAGTAAGAACCAAAGAGCTCAAACCACTTTGAAGTAACTTAGCTGTGTCCCAGAACAACGCTCAAAGGTATTTGTTGAAATATAAATATACTCAGCACCAAGTAGTGTAAAATTCATTGTCTGACGTCCAATCAAAAATTACGAGACTTCCAAAGAAGAAATATATAATATACAATAAGGAGAAAGATCAGTTAAAATGATCCCTAAATGTCAGGGGTGATGACATGAGTAGAGAAGGAAATTAAAGGTTCTATATCTGTATTCCATATGTTCAAGATGCTAGAGAAAGACAGAACCAGCTAACTGGAGACATAGAAGACATTTTTAAAAGAACCAAAGTGAAATTTATACCGCAAAAACAACAGAACTAGTAAGTGACTTGGGCTAGGTTTCAGAATGAAAAGTTGATACACAAAAATCAATTATAGTTCCTTACAAGCAGCAGTGAACATTCAGAAGATGAAATTTTAAAATAACAACTTTTATAATAGCAAAAAATATATGAAATACTTAAGAGATACACCTGAGAAAATACATCCAAACACTTGTACACTGAAAACATCTTTCAGAACAATCTGACCAAGCCAGTCATAAGAAACGATCTCCACTAGACATTTTTTCTCTCTGTTCTCTCTCTCTAGTTCTCTCTCCCTCCATCCCATATCCACCTGCCTCTCCCTCTTTGCCTCTCTTTCAACTCCTCCTTTGTTCTCCAACCTAATTAAGGCCTACTCTCGGCCTGTCCTGTAGTTTGGATGCCCCAAGGTCTCACCTCTTTTTGAGAGGCAATGATGCCACAAAGAGGTCTGTCTTCTCTGTATCTAACCCAGATCCAGGAACTCTAAAAATAATCATACTTTTTTTGTTTTTAGTATTAGGGATTGAACCCAGGGCCTCATGCATGGCAGGCAGGGACTCTTTTAACTGTGCTACGACCCCACCCCTTTTTTTATTTTTTATTTTTTGAGATAGACCCTCACTAAACTGCCTAGGCTGGCCTCAAACTTGGAATCCTCCTGCTCACACCAGGGTCCTCCTGAGTATCTGGGGTTATAGTGTGTACCATGGTGCCCTGCTAATTACACCGTCTATGTTGTGAAGCTTCGTCTCTTGCTAGCTTTGTTTAATGATGGTGGTTATGTATATCTTTCTCATAGAGACTTAAAGTCAAAGTGCTCCTCCCATTTCTTAGATTCCAAGCATTCAAGAAGGGTGTGAAGAATGAAAAGAGGGGAAACATCCTGCCATCGAGTCATAACCATCAATGCATGAGTAGCTGAATAATCCTCCTTCATATGTTAAAAGGTATTTTAGGACTCAGTTAAATCAAGAACATACCTTCATCCTGGTAAATAAGTTCCTCAGTTGTCGGGAGCAATGCTACATAATTTTAGGGAAAAATCATTTGGTTAGCCTAATTCTCTTGCCTACAGCCCAGCTACGGAATAACTCCATTTTGGCCTCCGTTCACAACTGAGACCTCAACGATCGCGTGATGCTGTCTGTGATTCTCTAGGACGAGAAACATCCTGGGAGCTGAGACCATCCTGGGAGGAGCAGACATCTACTCAGTTCCTCCTTGTTCTTGGATTGTTACATCTCATTTACGCAGGACGTACTGAACCCTCTGCAAGTCATTTGTTACATTTGTTTCTCCCGATGGACTGAACAAAAGGTGTGGTAAGCTGGGGGCTTTCGTCTTTGCTGCCCAGAGCAGCACTGCTCAGGCCCAAAGCTCAGCTTCTTCTCAGTCTCATTTGTCTACCTTTCCTGTAATTCGCCTTGTGCTGCCGAGGCTCGCAGGAGACTAGGACTCACTGCAGAGGTTCTGGTAACGTCCCCTTTCCCTGTTCCCTACACTCAGTCACTGGATGCTGTGCCCAGAAAGCATTTCCAACCTCAGCGCTGCCCTTGGTTTTCTGAAGCAGCACTCTCTCTATGATTCCATGATGAAGAAGGTTCCCTCACCAACCTACAGACATTTGAGACATTGCTTTCCTGAAAAGCCTCGCTCCCAGTGGTCCCAAAGAGAACTCTCTGTTCTGACGAGACTGGCTTTTCTGAACTCCCAGGTGCTATGGTTTGGATACAGTTTGCACCTCGAAGTTCGGTGTGCTGGAAGCTTGGTTCCTAGTGTAATAGTGTTGAGGTGGTGAACTTTTTTTTCTTAGTTCAAGTTCGCAGTACACAATGATTACATTCATCCTGGGGAGTTGGTACACAGCCATAACACATCTTCATTCATTTTTCATCCTTTTCTCCTCCCCCTCTGTTCCCCCTCTCTTCAACTCTTGGCCCCCTTTCCTTTTGCACAAAAATGTGTCTCCCTGTTTCCTCTTATCTACCTTTTATTTTGCTTTTCAATTTATTTATATTTTGGGGGTTCTCATATAAGAAAAAATGCAATATTTATGCTTGTGTGTCTGATCTTTTTCATGTAACATTATGGTCTCAAAGTGGGTCAATTTTCTACAAATGACTCAAATGTATCCTTCTTTATGGTAGAGTAGTACTCCACTGAGTACAACTACTACATTTTATTTATCTATTCATCTGTTGATGGATGAATACGTAGACCATTTCCAAGATCTAGCTATTATGAGTTATAAACATGGGTATGCACATATCACCATAATATGATGTCTTTAACTCTTTTGGAAAGAAATCTAGAAGAGGAATAGTTGGGTCGAAAGGGATTTCTTCTTCTAGTTTTTGAGAACTGTCTACCGTGATTTCCATAGTGATTGTACTAGTTTACATTTCCAACAATGTAGAAGCTTTCCTTTTTACCCACAATCATATCAGCATTTGTGATCATTTGATTTCTTAATGATGGCCATTCTTTCTAGGGTCCGATGGAATGTCAGTGTTGTTTAAATTTACATTTCTCTACCAAGATACATTATGTAAAGGTACAAGTTCCCAAAGATAAATGTAAATGTATTGTACACCTAAAATGTATCAATAAAAGAATTTAAGAAAAAAAAAAATAAATAAATTTACATTTCTTTAATAGCCAGAGATGTTGAACATTTTTCACACATTTGTCAGCCATTTGTACTCTTCTTCTGAGAGGTATATATTTGTTTCAGTTGCCCATTTTTGATTGGATCTTTTATATTAGCTGATATGCTTTTTTTTCAGTTCTTTATTCTAGATATTAGTCCTTTGCCCAAGGTATTGCTGAAAAATTTTTTTTCCCATTCTGTAGGTTGTTTCTTCTCTATGTTGGTTCTTTCCTTTGCCATGCAAAAGATTTTTAATCTGATATAATCTCATTTATTGATTTTTTAATGTTATTTCTTGAGCCACTGGGCCTCTGAACAGAAGGTCCTTACCCATGCCTCTAACTAAGGCTGGGTTAGTTCCCATGAGAGCAGGTTGTTCTGAAAAATGATTAGCCTTACCCCTCTCCATCTCCTGCTTCCTCTCTCATCACATGACACCTCTCTCTTGGTCTCATTCCCATCATGCAATGCCGTCTGCCATGTTGTGACAGTCCGAAAACCCTCACCTGAGGCTGCCAGATATGGCTGCCCAGTCTGGGATTTTCAGCCTTCAAACCATGAACCATGTGTTCTTTAAAGAGCCCAGTTGTGGGTATTTTGTTAGAGCAATAGAAAATGGATTAAAGCACCAACCTAGTTTCCAACTTTCAAGGTTTTGTTCAAGTTGACATCCCTGTCTGAAATCTTCATCCTTCTCCATGTTCCCTAGATTCTTAAAGCCTTAGTTTGTCTACTTCCTCCCTCCAGGGTCCACTCTAGCATTAATTGGTGGCACCAAACATATTGTTATTGTTTATTCCCAAGTTTTCACTCAATCAACATCTTGTTAAGAGGAAAGACCGTAATCCTTTGTGAATCAGAGGACTGATTTTTATCTATCCAGTTTTTATCCTAAGGCCTAGCGTACAATAGTTTTTAAAAGACATGAATCGAATGAATGATTATCTAGCTTTTAAATAGAAGCATCTCAAGGGAAAACACTGCGTAATGAGAACAACTTGGATTCTAAATAGTTCTGTTGCAACCTCTAACAAATTATAAAATCTCCCAAGGCTCTAGTTCCTCTTCACTACATTAATGTCACAGTGGATAATGCACTCACACATATATGTTTGCAGCCTTTACTATGGATGTGACAAGTGCAAAGTGACTCCATGATTTTGTACAATCAATGGCGGACTTGAGCTAGTAAGGCAAATGGGGAGATGGCTGTAAAGGAAAAAATATAGAGTGGAAAAGAAGAACCACAGCTAGGGAGAAAGATTTTCAGTAAGGCAGCATGGCATCATGGAGAGGCACTGAATAAGTTCCAGTAGTGCCAGAAGCAGGTGCCAAGATGAGCTTAGAGCCTCAGAAACATATTCTAGCATCCCTCCTTCTCATGGAAAATCATGTCCTCAACACACCATCACCTTTGCACACCAACGTCATCCCACCTTCCTTTGGACCCCTGGATATGTCCCATGCTTGGTGATCAGCAATAGGAATTTTCGCTCTCCGGGAAAACTCAGCCTCCCACCCACAAAATGTCTCACCCTAAATCTCTTCCTGTCTATAGAAGCCAGGTGACTGCCACTGTACACATTCCATGTGCTGGGATAATAACCCAAGGGGCTCATGTGCTGATTTGGAACGCCCAGACTGACTTGAGTCCAGGTTCCTTCCAACAGCATTATCTGAGACTGGCTCCTCATTGCTGACTGAAGAATGGCTTTATGGAGAGCCAACAACCAGATGGCATGGTGGTGTGCATCGGCAATCCCACCACTCTGAGAGTCTGAGGGACGGGGATCCTAAGTTCAACCTCAGCCTGGGTAGCATAGTGACTTACAAAGACCTAAGCTCAAAGTGTGAAGAGAAAATTTAAAAGGGTTGAGGATGTAACTCATTGTAAAGGCCCTAGGTTCATGCCCCAGTACGACCAAAAAATAAATAGATAAAAATAAAGTAAGAGGAAAAAAACCCCCAATAATCAGTTTTGGTGAAAGGACTAAAGTCATACATAGGAAAACATTTTTCTAAAAAACAAAATAATTTATGGAGATAATTTTGCCTACAAAGAAGACAGTCATTTATATCATTCTTATCTTCTGAGAGCCTCTGGTTTATTTAAAATCTATCCTTTCCAAGAAGAAAATGATATTTAGATTAGTTTACAAAGCCAAGATTCTATGACGCCGGTCTTCCCACTACCAAGAAATATTTGTCCTAAAGGTCCTGCAAATCCCCATCTTTTAAATGAAACTCCCTCCAAAGTTTCCAGGATCCCAGGGCTAATTCTTTGGCAAGGCTCATGTTCATAGTAGCTGTATTTGTCCATTTTCAACCAACATCAGGGCAGTTTGTGTGTGAAGGAAATGTTTCTAACCAGCAGCCCAAGACGGAAGTCACCCACCCACAGAAAGAAGCCCCTGGGATCACATCCTGTATCTTGTTATATATATGACACACTCACACATATATAATGTAACATGATGTACATATATTATAGATAATATATACTATGGCATGCTCGGTACCATGTTCTCTGACTTTCAGAGAGCTACAGTATTAGCAGTCCATGGCTATGGGTGGCTCCTTTGCCTGTCCCCTCTTTCCCTGACTTCTGCCTGAGACAAGAGGCAGGTAAATAGGACTTTAACAGATATAAGAAAGAGTGAACTATTTCACTGGAATTAAAACAACTATTAATCTATAAGCATATTAATACAAGAGATGTGCAGTAACTATCTGCATCCCACCTTGTAAAATAGTTTCTGGGGGAAAATTTCTTTTGTTCTAAATAAGTAACTTGGACCATGACCTTAGTTCTTTTATATGTGCTTACAATATACTATCTCCTGTAACATTCCAAAAAATTCGTTTTCTCTCTATGCTTTCCTAGGACGTAAACAGCAGGTAGATTGATAGCTCCATTTTACAGATGAAAAATGTACGAGACTGAAAGCAAATGAAACAAAACAAATTGTCTTGAGGCCCAGTGCAGATTTTCCTTCTACTAAGCAATACTGCCTTGCCAGCATAAACTCCTCTCCCAGATGAATAAGCAAAGGGGAGGGAGCGTGGGGGGAAAGAAGTAGAGCAAAGCTTTCCCCAAAAGGCAGTTTTTACCACTCCTGAGCAGCTCTGCAGGTCTGGGGATCTTAACTCATAGAGACTCTTCTTTGGTCCATCGGTAACATTCATTTATTGTGCTACAATGGAGGAATCAAAGAAACACAAAACCTTAAAGGACGTTGTGACTGTCTCACGTGCCTATCCATCACCCAGGAAGCTAGCTGGAAATAAATGAAGTATCCCAAACCTTAAATTTTTCTGCCTGGCTCCCAACCCTGCCAGTGTTGGTGAGAGACCACTGTGCTCTCTTGAAGTGTCCCGAATGTCCCCTCACTGGGCTACTTTCAGGCAGAACTCTGAAAGGAAACATTGCTCTCTCCCGTTCCACTCCACTTTTTCTTAATAATACATCCCAGGAGTTGAATTTGGGACTAGTCTATATGTGTCCGTGTGGGTTATTTCCAGGCCCAGCTATTACCAGGGAATGCGGTGACATTAATATGAGTAAATGCAGGAAAAGGGATGAAATAAAACATATCCTATTGAAGGAAATGAGAGCTCCTTAAGAAAGGAAAACACACATAGGAAAGGATGTGGGCATATCAGGATACAAATAGGGCCCTGGGGAACCGTGGATTCCACAGGCATGATGTTATTGAAGTATTTGATACTAGAGTAAGCACCTGCAGATATGAATTACATCCTTGTTCAGACCACTAACGTTAGGGTACTGTCGTCTCAGGAAGTGCTTATGGTGTATTTCAAATCCCTCTGCCTGCTGCATAAATATCCAATGAATCAATCAGTGATAAAGGACACTAGCTAAAAGCCTTAAGCGCTGAACAAGTCACCTCTCCCTCCTCAGAGAGGTGCCACCCTTAATTTATTGGGGTTTCCCTAGTCACTCACATCTCCAGCCATGGGACACATGGAAGATGAGGTGGGCTATTAACACCTTCAGCGCTGGACTAGGGCCACGAGGGGCGTTCCCCCACCACTTTTCTATGATTTTCTTTTACTGAGACATAGTATTTGTATATTTTTATGAGGAACAGTATGGTATTTTGATACATGCATACAAATGTGTAATAATCAAACCAGGGTAATAAGCACTCTCATCTCTTGGAATTCCCTTGTGTCTTCCAGAAACTGTCACACCCTCCATACCAGTTTAGTTGTTATAGTGATAAAACTAGGAGAAAAACATTTCTCTCCCTCCTTGGGGAGCTGTGGGCCATGTTCATTTTCTTTGGTTATAATAATAGAGTCTTTATTATGTAAGGTAGGTTTTCTAATAATCATTTTATAAGTGAAAGCTCACAGGCATAATAGAAATCTTAGTGACTGTCCCAGTTAAAAATAAAACACAACATGAAATCCCTAGTCACACAGAATGGGTGATTTTAAAGGTGATCTGCGGTACATTAAAAAAGAAAAAAAAAAGCCTAGAAAGAAATGTGCCAAACCTCTAATACTGGTTATTTTTGGGTGGCAGACTTTGGGAAGTTTTGTTTCTGCATTCCTCAACTGTCCCACAGCCCCACTGTGATGGTTAATTTTATGTGTCAACTTTACTGGGCCACAGGAAGTGTAAGTTAAACATTTTGTTGGGTCTGTGAGCAAGTTTTTGGATGAGATGAACATTGGAATAAGTAGATGGAATAAAACAGATTGCCCTCCCCTGTGTGCAGACCTCATCCAATCACTGGAGCCCATATCTTAGTCACTTTCCTTGTTGCTGAGACACAACTCCCAACAATCCAACTTAAAGGCAGAGACGTTTATTTTGGCTCACAGTTTAGTCCACAGTCAGCTCACATCATGGCGCCCAGGAAGCAGAAAGAAGGGGAAAGTTGGAGAGTGAGGTAGATACCCTTCCGGGTCATGTCCCCAGGGACCCACCTCCAACGAGGCCCCATCTTAACAGCAAGTCATCTGTAGCACTCCATAATCCAATAGCCTTCCAAAAGTCCCACCTCTGACCACATGAGGCCTTTGGGGGACATTCTGGATTTAAACCATAACATCATGAATACAAAAAAAAGAAGGCCTGGGTAATAGAGAATCACTTGGCTTGATAATGTTCAAATTGGGACATTGGTGTTCTGCTTTGGACTCAGGCTGAAACATACATCATCAGTTCTTGCCAAACACAGATGTTGGGATTTATTAGCGTCCACAGTTACATGAGCCTCTTCCTTCACATACACACACACGCACCTATTGGTTCCGTTTCTCTGCAGAACACTGACTAATACAACCAGTTTTACATTTACACATTCGCAATCTTCTCTACTATTGCTTCTACAATTAGAAAATAATTTTTTAAATTATCTCTACAAATTTAAGAACCATGTAAAGAAATTCTAACAGAATTAATCCTACAGAGAGCACTCATATTTCATTTCAGGTTTAATTTTCATATTTATTCTTATCACATAAATCTTCATGCATCAATATTATTCATACAACATCACTCAGAGCCTTTCCTAGTACTGAAAGAATAATTTTGTATATAACATTTTTGCTTTGAAAATGAAATCAGTTTTAATTCTATACACTACTACTCTTCACACACTACTCTTCTTTAGGGATTTTTAAATCAATAGAAGTGAAACTCTTTATTTTGTTGTTGTTGCTTTCCTGGTACTAAGAATTGAGCTACATCCCCAGCCCTTTTGGAGACAAGACCTTGGTAAAGTGCCCAGGCTGGGCTTGCTGTGATGCTCCTGCCTCAGACAGAGTGCTGGGATCACAGGTGTGCACCACCACACCCACCTTAGCTTTGTTCTTAAAACAGATGAGTCTCAACAAAAACTTGCTGAATGCTGTCTGATGGGAAGCTATGTGGGCAACCGCTGTAATAACACAATAAACACCCGTTTTAAACCTCCCAATTGCTGTGTTAATTACTGTCTTAGTCCTCATCATCACCCCCATGTTTTAGGTGTCTCAACCCCATTGGCAGTGGAGAAAATCATGACTGGCCAAGGAACCAACTCGCCAAAAGTCACAGGGACCAGTAAGTAGCAAAGCTGGGGTCGCCCTTGCTAAGTCTCGAGCTCCTTCGTGGGAAGTGGGACACTACTGTCTCCACACTTGAAGAGTTGCTGTCAAGCCGAGATGGATGCTCAGGAAACGACACAAGTGCATACGATTAAGCATTAAATCTGAGTGGTATTTTCATTGACTTTTATCAATTACCACAAATCTCATCGGAGACCTTTAAAAAAAAAACTGCAGTTCAAAGCTGGGAAATAATTCACCCACATAGTAGTGGCAGCTCCAGAAAGAAAGTCCTGGGATGATGGCTTGTGTTCCTAATGAGGCATAAATGGACACATCACTCCAGCCCAATAAGCTGTGTTTTGAAGAGGCCCAAGCGAAGGCAGTCCTCCTTCTGCGCAGATGTTCAGGAACAGCAGAATGTAATGATTCACATGACTTTTATTAAGCCTTTATGAAATCAGGAATTCTCTTCAGGGTCCCCAGCACCACTGATTTCCTCTACATAGAATGCCAGAAACAGAATGGTCTTTAATAATTCTCATCCAGAGTAGGACTGAAGGAGGGTGAGCGAATGAAGTGGATGTAGGAAGAAGAGAAAGGACAGAAAGTGAGGAAAAAGGAACAACATAGAAGAAAAAAAAAAAACCTCAGTGTTTGCCCCACTTGAGCTGATTGTGATTATAATATCCACTGCCTTAGGAGAATTTCCTACAGCAGTGTCTATCCTAAGTTCTTTACTTACATTACTTAAATCTTATGAAACACACAGGCTTGAAAATAGACTTTGCTGTCATTCCAGTCAGTGAATTTGAGATTATTTTGCTCAGGCTCACACATCTAAGTCATGGAGCTGGGATCTGAATCGAGGGCACTCTGACCCTAGATCCTGAGCTCTGAACCTCCAGAGCGAACTGTTCCACCACTTCCACGCTCTAAAAACAGGGACTCCAAATTTTCTCAGATGCTTTTCTCAACTTGGCCAATCAATGACTCACTGGCAGTTCCAAAGCTACTTAAAGTTCCTCATTAAAGTGTGTGGGCTGTGAATTAATATTCTTTGCCTGTTGAATTGCAATACAACCGGTTAGCCAGGACAGCTGATTCAAGCACAGGATTATGTGCACTTTTTTAAAGGGTCCTGCCAGAATTTCTCAGTACTAAAAATCCCTACAGGATACAACATCCTAATGAAGTGTGTTGCTTTTGCTGTTCTCTAAATTTATGCAGGTGAGGACTGGGCCAGACCAATCAGCTACATTGAGCTGGGAAACAAGCGAAGAAGCTGACAGCTCGGCGCTAAGATCTCTGAGGGGAGCCAGAGGCGTGTGAGCAGATGACATCTCCACGCTCCAGAGCGAAGTCTAGCCACCCAAAATGTTAACAATACCATCCGCTCTCCCTGGGAAAATAAACCTTCGCTTCAAAAATAAACTTGACTAAAGGTATCTGGAGATAAAAGGAGAGGTTTCCAGTCAGCAACAAAACTGTGCAAAAGGATTACAATATTTCTTTGGAAATAAAATTCTGGGAGCTGGTCTGAATTAGAAGGAACTATGAAAACTAAACTCCTACAGCTTAGGCTACAGAAATGCATGGCAGCATGGCAGAGATTAGCACCCACTGGCTCAGGGGCCCCTACAGTTATTTGTTGTTTTCTTTAAATAGTTTCTCAATTTTATAATAGAATGTAATTGCCAATGTATTAAGCAGCAGACAACACCATTTGGACTGGAGTATTGTTTTGGGGGATTGAACTCAGGACCTTGCACTTTCGAGGCAGGCAGTGGAACCACTGACCTAATCCCCAGCCCTAGAGTATTATTTTGAAACGAGGGATTAGAACCAGGTTAAAAACCCAGTTCTGTCACTTCACTAAGGTCCTTCGGGTAATTTACTCATTTTCTTGAGGTTTAATGGCTATGCTCTGCAACATGGAGGTCGTAAAGTTTTCTTCACAATACCACTGAGAGAATGCAATTAGACATTTTTGATTTCAAAGCATCTAGCACTATGCCTGGCACACGTGCTCAGCAAAAGCTGGTTGGCTCATGATCTGACTCGGAGTTAGAGAAATACCGGGGAACCACTTCAAGTACCTTCACTGCTCTAGTTAAATCAGCAGGCAACTCAGTGAGTTCTCTTGTGTTTCTAGGAAATATACCGTACACTCAAGTATTTCAAAGGTAAAGAGGCATCATGTCTGCAACTTAAAACAGTCAGAAAAAACATACATATATTGATAGAGCTATATATAAACTAGGTATTATAGATATATACTTTTTAGAGATATAACATATAGATAAATAGAATATATATACTATGTATATAATAAAGCTATATCTATATAGATCTATATCTCCATCAAGAGACACAGAGAGAAAGAGAGAGGGAGAGAAATACCAAGTATAGTAAAATGCTAATGTTTGGAGAATCTTAATGAAGGTTATATTCCTATAACTTTCTTTAAGCATAAAATTATGACAAAATAAAAAGTAAAAATTAAATATCATCTTACTGAGTCCCCACCACATGCCAACAATTAAACAAGGTGCTTTACATACATTCTTGGTACATGAAAACACTCAGAACAATCGCTAGGAGAAATCTTCTAAGCCTGTTCACAGAGGAGACACTTCAGAAATGACCGGAGAGGTGCCCTGCGAGCCTTTCTGTCCGGGGGCCCCACCCCACTCTGAGACTGTCCCAAAGGTGCAGAGAGCATCTGGGTGTCTGCCATGGAAACAGAAATAGCTGTGCGTGCTGTGCCCTCACCCTCCTGCCTGGCCCTCACTCATGTACCCTCTGCCTGGAAGAGCTGGCTGCTGGGCTTGGCTTCCATCTCCAGGCAATGACAAATTGGTTAGCTGATGGCAAACCATGGGCTATACACAAGCAACCTGGGAAGGAAGAGAGGGCCTTGCCCTGGGGACCAGTGTGACCTGGGGCAAGGAACCCCACTGGCCCATGGTTGGTTCCTCCTCTGTAAAATGAGAAGGCTGGACAAAGAGCCCCTAGCATTTTGGTTTTTCCATCTCCGTCATTCTGACTATGCACAATCGTCAGGTATGTTGGGCATCTCTCAAACTGCAAGCATAACGCCACGCACCTAAAGCATTTTAACTGACATTTTCCTGGGACAGTGTCCACACCCAGGGACACTTCGCAGGGAAACTCCCATTTTGTCCCCAAAATGTCTTTGGTACCATGGTAGGCGCCAGGGCGAAGAACCGGAGGGACCCCTGACTTTAATAGCCTCTCGACTTAAGTCAGGCTTGCCAACTAAAATTATGTTCCACTCACTGCCTGGTAATTAATTATCACTTAACAAACATTTCTTTTGGCACTTGCTGTCCTCAGCCCTCAAGGCAGGACCTGTGCTAGCTCTCAGCTTTGGTCATTCGAGCTTCACCTCCCAGGCCTCCCAACAAACATGGCAGCAGTTGTGCACAGCCCAGCCAGCTCCTCCTGGTCAGGGGGTACCCAGCAGGATGGAGGGTGGCTCCTCAATGCCAGGACAGGTCAAGACCCCTGGGGGACATTCTGCTCTCCCGCCAGACTCTAGCAAGAACCTCCTGGCAGTTGTTCTCTGCCCTTGGCTAAAGCTCACCCGACGCCCCTCTTGCTAAGCCGCAGGTGGACACATTTTGGATGGCATGACGATAAATGGATTTGATTTCCATGGCTGGGGGGTGGGGAGGCGGAGCATGGCTGAGAGTTTTGAATAGATGGAATAAATGTTTAGCCAAAACTGGAGGACTCAGTGCAATGAAGGACCTCACTGGTGACATACAGCCTCCCCACAGTCTGATTTTAAAAATCTAAGCTGAGAATCGGGGATTTAGCTCAGTGGTTCCGGAAAGTGCAAGGTCCCGAGTTTGATCCCCGATACCAAAAAAAAAAAAAAAAAAAAAATCTAAGCTGGAAGCCAGGAGCTTAGCCAGGTTTGCCACAGTTGGCAGATGTGCTCATGGGACTGATCTCCTTCGGAGGAGTGAAGGACGAGGACAGAAGAGCCAGCCCAGAAGCTGAAGGAGCCCCCCCCCCCAAGGGAGCAAAGAGCCCCTTGGATCTCACATCATGCGGGAGAGGGCAGCTTTCTACCTGGGACACTGCTGATAGCATTTGGCAGTTTGGCACTGAGAATATTCTCATCTTCCCTGTGTGATCCCTCTCTCTGGTAGTCCCGAGTCTTTGCTTCTCCTGTCGCGCATCTGCATCCAAAGAGAACTGTGTCGGCCGGGCAGACTCCTAATTCCAGCTGAGCAGTGCCAGGATCTCGGGAAAGTCATGCCAGCGCTTAGGTCTTTGGCTTCCTGACCCACGCCATGGCATCACAGCGCGAGGTCATAAAATGAGGGCACTGGGGAAACACTTGCTATCACGGTGGCCTGCAGATGAACAACAAACACAGCAGGGTACTTCTCTGTTAGTGACGCTCTGTCCTAGGGAATGGGTGACTGTAACAAAGTGTCAGGTGCTGGGCTGACAAAAACAAGATGAACTTCTGTATCGCGTGATGTTCATACTGCAAGTGACACAGCGAAATGGAACTTTAAATGCTAGATTTATGTTTTTAGAGACAAGAAGCTTTTCCAAACCTCCTCAGGCCTCAGGGTATCGGCTTCCATCCCCACTCTCCTCAGATGAAGGTCAAGGTCTAGCTTCAGGGATACAGGGGAGGGAGAGGTCAGGCCCAGGAAGGATGACTCCAGCCCGGGCGTGACTGTTGTCTCGCTGCATTCCCCTCCCCTCTGTTCCTGCTGAGGCATGAGATGAGGATGAGGTGATAAGACCCCTGCATTCCTTCAGAGCTAACAAATCCTTTTTCCTTTTTCATCACAGTAAGCAGCCTCTTTTGATTGGGTCAGCGGCAAGCAAAACATCCTGAGCATTTGAATCTAAGTGGCCAGTAGCAATACTTGACACAGAAAGTAGGTATTTTGGATATTCCCATTTTACAGACGAGATAACTGAGACTAGCAGACTTTTGTTGTTGTTGCTTTAAGCACTTTCCATTTTTAAAACTTTTTGAGATGGATATACATTCACAGGAAGTGGCAGGAGTAGTAGAGTGGCCCGGTGTCTCCTCACCAGAGTGAAGAAGGGCTCTGGGCACCTCGCAGGTGCACACCTGTGAGGCTGAGTTGGGCCTGGCTGGATCCGCTCTGGGCTCTGAGCAGGATGAAGGAGTAAAAAGCTATATAGCAGTGCTCTGGGAGGCTGTGCTAATCTTCTGACTGCAGATTTATGAGATAAGACAATAATCGAGCTTCGCTGACATGCTCAGCAAGAGGAACAGCCCTGCCCGTCCAGTTCTCACCGATGCTGCCAGCAGAGCCCGCCAGCTTGCTTCATGCTCCTACGATCTGCTAACGAGGCTCTGGACAGGCCGAGCTTCCAGTCACCAGCTGGGCATTTGGTGATGAAAGGCCTTCTGTCACTACCAGTCCCTCCGGTTCCTCAGCCATTCCGTCCAGCGCACATTGCAAGTCCCCGCTCCCCAGGACCAGCAGAGCTCCTCGGCCAATACTACCCTGTCCCTTCTCCTCTCCAGCTTGTGAACTTGGAAAGGAAAACAGCTCCCACATTTCTTGCTACACTATTTATTGGATGGGAGTTATTTCATCAATCATTAACAACTTGCTCCGAGAACCAGTTCCCAAGAAAGAGGAAACTTGAGCCTCTTCTTGCAAGCCTCGTGTTGCTCACAAGGCTACAGTGTCCGCATGACCACGGAGAGACTTTGCAAATGCTTGGCAAGTGTGTTGGGCACGACGCCCCAGAGGCCAAAAACCTCCTCTAGGAAAATGAAATATGTCGAGCACCCACCTCCACCCCAGCCACCCTGTTCTCCTCTACCCACTGGGAGGCCAGGCTTATGCACGGGGAGGTCATCTTTGGGGGCTGCTGTGCCCTAACGTCTCTCAGGGCGCGGTGGCTGAGGAAGTGTGGGTAACGGGAAACACAAAGAATACTTGTATTCCTTAGAAAAATAAAAGAGAAATGTTCTCTCTGACCCCCACTAAAACAGAAACCTTTAGAGAAAAAAAGCTCCCTGTTCAGCTGCAATAGGGTGAAAGGTTAAATGTGGACAGCGTAGTAATATATACGCAGTTTCTTAGTTTTCTGGTGGGAATACTTAACAAACTAAGTATGTTTCCCCAGGAGGTAATCTATTATATTTTGTCCAATTTCTTCCTCCAAGAACTGAATCAATTCATGATGTAATGCCCAGGGGAGAACAATCTTTTGGAAACAGAGTATCTTTCTGGGGACTAGGTTGAGGAAAACATCTTAATATTGTTGCAGCTTTTGGCTTGGTGGTAACAGCTCTTTGCTCTTGGATGGCAAAGGAGAAGAGGGAAAAGGCAGGAAAATGTCAAAAGGACACTCGTCTCCAAAGTGTTTGGGATTATTTTCTTCTCTTGGAGAAATACAGGATATAAATCCACCTGGACATTTACGGGACAGCTGCAGGACACTGGGCACATATTTTAGGAATTCCTTGAGACAGCTGGTCGTCCTAAGAATTGGCACTGGAATGAATGCAGCAGGCCTGACTTTTTTTTTTTTTTTTTGGTACCGGGGATCGAACTCGGGTCTTTCCGCTTGCGTAGCAGGCGGCCAAACGACTGAGCTAAATCCCCGGCCCAGTCCTGACTTATTTTAAACAGATTCTTTAGGGCTCCCCTCTGTTCCCAATTTTCCACTCTCCAAAAACATATATATATATTTAGAGGAAAAAAGGTAAAAATAATACTCATCATTCAGTTAATTTTAAGAAAATAGACGCCGCTTTTGAGTCTTTTTGAGATTCTGGATGACGATGCAGCCATTGATTTCAGTGGCCCCCCAACTAAACCCTAAGGGAGCGGCCAGTAACCCTCCCGGGGGGTTTCCTGGAGCGCCCGGAGCACCGGAGTGCGAGAACAGGGAGGGGCAGCTGCTGCAGGGAAACAACGCAGCAGCCGAGCGTCAGAAGCCCTCCAGGCTTTCCCGGGTTTTAGGGTTGCTTCGGTCCCTTTTCTCGGGGTCGTCACATCTGTAAGACAGGAAAAATACAACCCCACTCTCTACTCCTAGAGATATGAAGACACACAGCAAGGTCTTACAAGGATGATTTCTGGGTTTTACGAAAGTGTGGGTTAAAAAAAGAGAAAGAGAAGGGACCAAGCCTCAATCAAGGGGTGGGCCCGGGTGACGTATTTGAAGGGAAGGGAGAGGAAGGCACAGTGGGTACTGCTGAAGAGGCTCCAGGCTGATTGGAGGTCAGTTAGTTTCGAATTGAAAAATAAGCTTACTTGGGTAAATAAAAAAGTAAAATATGGACAAACCAGTGTTCATTTGTCCCCATGTTATTCAAAGAACTCGCTGCATCCACGACATCTCAGGGGAATACAAAGAATTTAAAGTAACATTTTACAAATGAAATATAAGAACCAGCTTTGATCCCAGACATTTCTAGTGCCCTCTCCTCTCCTTTTGAATCTCACACCCCTTTCTGTTTTCACAGCCTGAGCTCCTGGGCCTCAGCCACGCCCACTCAACCACCCTCGGCAAACCACAACACCTAAACACCCACTTTTTAGAAGGACTTGTTTGTCCAGAACATGCTCGGCAGGCTAGTTTGTAGGCACAGAATTAGACTTCACAGTGCTCGGGAAGTAGAAATCTTTACCTCCACATGCAGGGTCTCTATGTGAAGCACAGGTCGAGGACAGCATTTCCTCTGTCCTGTGTGTGCCGTGGAGTCGGCAACCCGTGGAATTCACCCAGTGGCTTACTGCACTCACACACGTGCCCGAGACTGCTCAGCAAAACATCTGCTCAAAACATCTGATCAGAATTAGGATTTTCTATTTCAGAGGCAGGACTTGGAAGGGGGTGGGGGTTGAAGTCTTTGTGACCACTATGAGGGACAGATCCCTGGTTTACAAATTCATTTCCACCATGTCTTGGTTTAGACATAAACCAAGAGCCTGTTGTTCACAGGTAACCAAACTGTAAATTCAAAGCTATTATTTTGATTAATCATGCATGCATCTTCCCCGGGTTACGGTGCATTACAAAATGAATGATGCTGATCTTGTAGAGTATTTTCTCCCCATAGATGCGAGGTGGGGGGATACTTAACAACCGAGGTGGGATTGGCTGGAGTCGGTAATGTTGAAGGCTGTAGCATAAAGGAGCCATTGATGCTTCTTTGAGTGGATTCTTGGGGGACAGGCATAGAAGGCTACTATCAAGGGGGTTTTAGTGCATATTTGTTAGGTCTGATATTCCTAGATTTCTCAGTCTTCGTGGCCCCTAAATGTTTAAATACTTAAATTCAACCATTTATCACTCTTCAGGGACCTCTGTAGAATTTAGTCACACTTTGAGTTATTATTATCAGAATTCACTTCTAAAATATTGGCAAGAGTAATCTATTTAAAAGTATTACCACAAATGCAATTCTTTAAGACAAATCTCCACCTTTTAAGAAAAAATGCCACCTGCAAGCTGTAAATATGTACGTTAATTTTTCCCCATGGTATTTGCTTTGGCTGTGACCTATCCTAATATTCCGTTGAACAAGGGCTAAAAATTGTCAAACCAAATTCTTGTTTGAGAGCTGAACTCTACTGCCAGTTTGAGAGAAACACACATCCAGGTTGAGGGAATATGTTTTGTTTGTTTTGGCTATGACATAGGGCAGAACAGTTTCCATCCCATTTGAATGCATTCAAGAGTTTGAAATATTGCACAATAAAAGTCATTCATTATATCTGTCTCCTTTCCCTTCCAAAAACAAAAATGGCTGCCCAGTTCCAAATCTACACAGGGGGCAGGCAGAAGGGAGGCAGAGGGTCACTGGAAATCACCCAAGACTAACACCAGGTTTTTCAGGTTTGAGTTGGAGGAATACAGTGCTTCTGAAGTCTTCATTCCCAATTCATGCTTAAAACAAGAAAAGCCAAGTATGGGTGACTTGGATCATGGCTTTGTTATGAAAAATTAGAATTGGACACATTGCATTTCTTCAAATGTTAGGTGTAAAATCACACATTTTATGTTCAGCCTGGCATCTGAACACAACTTACTTGAACTGAAAAATTCTTTCACTCATTTTCTATATAAACTTTCAACTGCTTGATGTCGATTTTATACTGAAAAAAAATTCCACTGTTTGAAGCAGACATTTGGAAGAATCTATTTTTGCAAACACCTGATGCTACTTAGGAGTTATTTCATGTGCCTAAACTGAGAAGAAAAAAACAACCTAGTACTTATTTCCTTTTTTATCAACAAGAATCCTGGATGTCAGAACACTGGAAATGCGGTCTGAATTTAAATGGCAAAAACAAAAGTGCTGCTATCAAATCAATAGGATTATGAAATATTATCAAAGTGGAAGAACATTTTTTTAAAGGAAGAATTTTCTTAAAGAAAACTTTAAGTGGGTGAATAAGGACACGAAAAGAAAATGTTGGAAGTAGTAAGCAGATATGATAGTCACCTTTAAAGAGCTTAAAAATCACCCCTACACTTATGGATTTGGAACTTTAAAGCATGTATATAATTTGAGTGTTCTTGTATCACATCTAAACCCAGAATGCCAGCTGTTTGTGCTGCAGACCACTTTTATCACACCACGTAAACGAAACAATTTAGTCAAGTATGTTTTCAACAAATGAGAAAAGACTTAAAAATCAATTGTCCAGCTGCGCACTGGAAATGTGATGCCAACTACCCCTTACAAAAGCCAAACTTGTATTTTTCTTTACTGTGCACTTATTTATTTTCTTTTCATATGTGACATAATGCTTGAAGTATCAAAAAGTAGCAGTTCCAGCCCGGGAGCGCGGAGGGCGCGGGCGGGGCGCGGGGGCCGAGGGGGCGTGAGGAGGTGGCGCGGGCTCTCCGGGTCCCGGCGGCGGCCCATGGGGCGGGAGGCGTGAGGCCGCGGCCTGCGCGGGGCGGGGAGATGGATAAACTGATCATCCTCTCAGGGTGTCTCTTTCTGGCCGCCGATATCTTCGCCGTCGTCAGCATCGCCAACCCGGACTGGGTCAACACCGGGGAGTCCGCGAGAGCACTCACTGTGGGCGTAGTGCGACAGTGTCAAACAATCCATGGACGAGACCGGCCATGCATCCTTCCCCGGCTTCCCCCCGAGCGGGTCACCACACTGTTTTTTATCATCGTGGGAATCATTTCATTGACTGTCACATGTGGTTTGCTGGTGGCTTCGCACTGGCGAAGAGAAGCTACGAAATATGCTCGTTGGATAGCATTCACTGGAATGATCCTTTTCTGTATGGCTGTCCTAATATTTCCAATAGGATTTTACATCAATGAAGTCGGAGGTCAACCTTATAAATTACCCAACAACACAGTAGTTGGGTCATCATATGTACTTTTTGTCTTATCAATTTTCTTTACAATAGTAGGA